CAGGCTGGCCTGGCGCCGCTCAGGGTCTGGGTCCGCTGCCCCTCACCAGTGCGCCCGGGGCCCGGGCCTTGCGGAAAGAGGAAAACTATCCTTAAACTCAAAAGGCGGCCACGGTCTGCCGGTCAAGGGTTTGGATTCAGGCTTTTTCCCGATTGAAAGTGCCACGTCTCACCCCAGGATGGCAGCGGAGCACGTGCCAGCAGACGATGCAGCTTGGAGAGCTTTTCGAACTTTAAAAAACTGACCTTTAGAGAATAATTCTTTAGCCCGGCCGGTGTGGCTCAGTGGTTGAGCGTCGACGCATGAACCAGGAGGTCATGGTTCGATTCCCGGTCGGGGCACAGGCCCGGGTTGCAGGCTCGATCCCAGTGTGGGGCGTGCAGGAGGCAGCTGATCCATGATTCTCTCTCATCACGGATGTTTCTCTCTCTCTCTCCCTCTCCCTTCCTCTCTGAAATCAGTAAAAATATATATAGTAAAAAAAAAAAAAAAAAGAGAGAGAATTTCTTAAACCATGTGCTATGTCAGTATATATTTTTCTGCCCAAAAGGGGAAAAAAGTCAACTTACAGCCAATCGGGAGCCCCATGGAGTGGATCGGCTCCTCTTCCCCTCGGAACCCTGAAAGGCAAGGGGGTGATGGGCAGAGCGAGCCCAAGGGCGTGAGGCATGCCCCCCTTACCCTCCCCCGTCGCCGGGTGCTCACTCACTTTTCACCACCACGGCCGCGTTGGTGGACGCCTGCCCATGCACATTCGTGGCCACTGCGGAGTAGGTGGCGGTGTCGTCAAAGTTTGCCCTTGGAGAGAAAAAGCCAGACTGTCAGCTGTTCCATAAGAGCAGGTGACCTGCCTCTGAACACAGCGTCCTGGGAAGCGGCCAGGTGGCCTTGGTCCTTTGTTCGTGAAAGACGTGCCTAAGAACAACGCCAGGTCTGTCCCGGGACCCGGTGTTCAGTACAGACCCGGCAAGGTCCGGGCCCGACTTCATAACAAACGAGAGGCCCGGTGCACGAAATTCGTGTAGGGGTAGGGTCGCAGGGCCTGGCCGGCGGTCAGGGACAATCAGGTTCCCCCGCCTCCCTGCCTCCCCCTCCCTTCACTCCCTCAGTGCCCTGCCACTGCCGCCGCCGGCCACCCTCCATGTTCCTCGCCACCCCTGGTGGTCAGCACATGTCATAGTGAGCGATCAAACTCCCGGTCTCCTGGTCAAACTCCCAAGGGGACAATTTGCATATTAGCCTGTTATTATATAGGATCAACAGTACGTATTGCTTTTGTTAACCCTCGCCCGAAGATATTTCTTCCATTTATTTGCAGAGAGAGTGGAAGGGAGAGGGAGAGACAGAGAGATATGGATGTGAGAGAGACACAGTGATTGGTTGCCTCCTACATGCACCCTGACCAGGGCCAGGGATGGAGCCTGCAACCGAGGTACGTGCCCTTGACCAGAATCAAACCAGGAATCCTTCAGTCCGCCGGCCGACGCGCTAACCGCTGAGCGAGCTGGCCAGGGCTAAACGGTATGTTTTTTAAGCTGCTCAAATACACCTACTGAGCACCTCACTTCACTCGGGGGACTTTGGTGATTAAATAAAACATGCATTTGAAAATGCTCTGCAACTTTAACGTGTTTTTGTTTGTTTGTTTGTGTTAATCCTCACCTGAGGATACTTGTCCATTGATTTTAGAGAGACTGGCAGAGAGAGGAAGAGACAGAAACATCATGTGGGAGAAACACACCGATTGGTTGCCTCCTGCACACGCCAGACCAGGGCCCAGGCCGGGGAGGAGCCTGCAACCAAGGTATGTGCGCTTGCCCGGAATCGAACCCAGGACCCTTTGGTCTGCAGGCCGACACTCTAGCCACTGAGCTGCACAGGCCGGGGCTGTATGTTTCTTGCCTGTTCTTCACTGAAAAGCATCCACTGAATTCCCTCTGCCCCACGGCCTCCACACCCCCGCGGTACAGGGTCCCGGAGCTCTGAGAACCAGACCCATTGCTCCGGTGCCACCGCCCCCCTCCCCCGCGGGTGAGCGAGGAGAGGGCCGTGAGGTGAGAGAGCTGCTTGCAGGGAGCCAAGAGGAGCCCTGCCAAGCCCCACACATCCCCCCGCAGCTCCTCCTGGGATTTAACCTGCTTTTCACCTGACTCTGCATGAAGAGGGGAGAGGCCCTAACACTCAGCGCTGTGAGCTGCCCAATTAGCGCCTGGGCTGAGGAGGACCAGCTGGGGTGCAGCAGCTGGAGAGCCGGGCCTCCCGCGCCTGCCGCGGGGCCTCTGTGCAGCCCCTGCTCCC